TTATGTTGTAGGATATTGAAAGTGAAATCAAAAAACTATTTTGAACTAAAATTTATTCTTACAGAGAAATCTGATGATAACTCGAATGTTTTTTTTTTCCGAGATAATGACACGTTCTTAAGACGTCATATCTTACTGAAGTATAGAAAAATATCGAATTTATCGAAAGCCTATTATCTTGGGGATGACACACTCGTTTTCACGACAACTTTTGGCACATTCGAGCTATTATCAGAATTTGCTATAGACGAAAATTCAGATCCAAATAATCATTTGATTCCACCTCCAATGCCCTACCACAGATTAACAACAGAATGAAGTGACCCTAAATTGAGAAGAAACATCTATAGGGAAGAATTATATTTGAGTTTTTCTTATCTTCATAGGATCTAAATCCTACATGAAGTCTCACGTCAAAATTGATAGATCAATTGGTGAGATTCCTTCGTAAGAGATTTCTGAGTCTTAAAATTTCGTTTGGTGACCTTTACTATAACGAGACATTTGTAAGATTTTCTTACAATCAGTATACACCACTTATTTTGTGTTTTCTTTTATAGAATGATAATGAATCGTATGATTTCGATTGTAAAAAAGTTGTTTGTTGTTAGTTTTAGATAAAATTATTGTTGTTTGTTTTTTTTTTCTTGTGAGTATGACAACTAATCCTAAAGCATTATCAATTGTTGCTAAATGTGCATTATGTTCAACAAAAACTGAATTATTTATATGTCCACATTGTGATGAAGTTATTTGTCAAGCATGTGTTAATAAACATCAATCAGAATTAAATGAAACACTTAAAGAACATTGGTTAAAATGTAAAACAAAATTTCATAATTTATGTCAATTATCAAGTAAAACAAAAATTTGTCTTGTTTCTTTTTTTTTTTTTTTGTATTCAAATTATCTTTTATAATTATTTTGTTTAGATACATATGATAAAGATTTTGTTCTTATTGAAAATGAAATGTATCGAATACGACAAATAATTGAACAACAATATTCAGATGTTGTTCAATCAATTGAAAGTGAAAAAAATACTTTATTAATAAAATTAGAAGATTATATTAAATCAATCACATCAAAGTAAGTTTTGATATTGTTTAATTAACAATTAAAAAATAATTGAACAATATTATTTAGCATAAATTATATTTTCTTAGTGTTAAACATCAAGATCTTCAACAATTATTTAATTCAATTAATCGACGACTTGAAAATGTTTTTCAGTAACAAATATATTCAAAGAAAATCTTTATCTTTATTTATTTTTTTTATTGTCAATAGAGAGTCAAATACGTCCTACAATGCAGATGATTTTCTTTTAGAAATAGATCATTTTAATATGCAGATTTCTAATCGACTAAAACATATACAATCTAATACATTTAAAGTATGTTGTTTTAGAATTCTAATAAAAAAAAAACTCAAAGACAGTTTTAATAAATTCATGCGGGTTTAATGCTTCCTAAATGATCTCAAAGCATACTGAATGCAAATGATGATGAACGAGAAAAGTTACTCATCAATGCAGAACTTAATATCTGTCTATACTAGAAAGTTTTCATCTAAAAATTTCATGCTCATTTCTAGACCGTTTGCTACTGACTGTGAGAAACTGTTCATGACTAATAGGTCTCAGATCATGTTCTAATTGCATACATAACGACATAGAAATTTTTTTTTTCATATGAAATTTTCGTTGCTGACTAGTTTCATGCAACTTTGAAAAGAAACTTAGGTCTTAATAAAAATAAATGAAAAACAAAATATGAAGTTTAATTCAAAAACGAATAATTTTATTCATTTAGTTTCCCCATCGATAATAGTAGCTGGCGAATGAAAAGTACTTTCAGTAAATGTAACATTATTTCTTGACTTTTTCAAGGCAACTAAAAATAAAATTGCATTCTACTATTAAGTATATTACATGATGAGTTCAAATAAGAAAATATCAATTTGATCATTGCTTGTGAAGAAATCATGTATTTATTAAGACAAGCCAGTTACAATAAGACATAGATATCATTATATATCACTTGGGAAAGATTTCGGATGAAAATTTTCGAAACAGTTTTCCTTTTGTTTTTTAATACTTAGCGTGTGTGGTACATGACGAATAGCACTAGAAATCTTACGATTTATATAAATTTCATTTAATTTTCTTGTGAAGTTGTAATAAGAAACACTTTCTCAAAAGACGTAGTTTGTTAACATGTACATGAAAGGGACCGATTTTTCATCAGTTAAATTCTGTTGTTAAATCGACCGGTACGGTTCACTTGAGAAAAATTCAACCAGTTTTAAGTCTGCTAAACATCACATAAAACTGATGTTAATAAGACTTATATATAAGACTATTGTTTTCTTTCATATTTGACAAGAAACTCGATTTATTATTAGACTAGCGGAGGTACCCGATGGTAGTCATGATAATTTTATAATATATACTTGACATATTAGAAAAAGACGTCACTATGATCTCCTATCAATTATTGGAATTCGATATGGCAAAATA